ATATCTCAGTTACGATTGCATTTACACGTACGCCAATCAATATCCTGTTGGAGTACACATCAAGTATTCTGTGTGTACTTAGGTTGTAATATCGATGTTTCTATTGAAAATGTTATAAATTTATGGGTATCAAGTTTTATTTTATGTAAACTTATAGTTGTTAGAGACTACAAGCTTAAGATATTTTATAAATAGAGGTAGGAAAGTTTCTTATAATGTGTTCTCGTAGACTTGGCAAAGTTCCATTTCAGTTTTAGGCTATTTGAATGCGAGGATATTAGGACATATATTTTTATGTAACTTTTTCTAAAACTACTCTTTTCGAATATTTATTTTATTTTTGCTTGCAAAGTTGTTTGAAAAAAAACTCGGAAATGCTAGCAGATATTATTGCATTGTGATTTCGTTGTGTACGTATTGATTTTCTTTCTATCTCATTTTTAATTTACGCTACTTTAATTTCGGTCTGCTTCATTCAATTACGATTTAAATTTAATCGCAATTTTTTATTCATGAATTATTTAGTTTCTCTTAAATTACTTTTTGATAATTTATACTAAATTAATAGTAAACAGTATTAAGATGGTTAAATACAAACATTTTTATTTAATGTGGAAATACAAAGAAAACTACATTAATAATAAATTTTAAAAAAATCGATAGAAAAGAAGAATAGGGTCAGTTTGAAAATGGAAACGGATATAAGATAGTCGTACCGTATCGGCGAACGCGACATCTGTCGGCATCGGGGGCCCTTTCTCGTTATCTCCCTAAAATTCAATTGCCTCTCTTCAGATCTTAGCGGGTTTCATTCAGGGAAACCAACTAATGTTATTGAGTTGAAATCCAAGCTTAATTCCTATTTGAAAAGTTCGGATTTAATTTAAGAGTTCCTATTTTACAAAAAGTAACGAATGACTTTTAGATAAATTTAATTCGTTTTAAGGATATTGAAACAGATTAAATAATTTATTTCATTTTGATTAATTTGGAATGTTTGATTTGTATGAGTGCATGTTGTAAACACGTTAGGATTGCTATTAACACATTTAATTTGCGCACATGTACTGTACTACAGGTGCGTATGGCTCGGTTTGTTTGAGCCCATCAACTATTTTATACGGCTCATGTGGATTGGATTTGATCGAAACGGCAATAAGTATCCATTATTGTGGTCTCTATGGTTTTCGAATATTTATGCCTTACTGGGAATTATGCTTTATATTTGCTTGATGTAAAGTTATAGGTTAATTTACTATTGAATTCGATACAAATGTTTAAAAATGCCTAATTTTCACGGAAATTAGTAGCTACAATTATATAAAATTTGGAATATGCTTGATTATGAATTATTTTCTCTTAAAAATCAGATACAAAATTCATCTGTTCATGGACAGCTTGGCAAATCTATGTTGGCCTATTAAGGTTGGATGAGCTTTAGCAAAGTTGACAAATTGCAAAATGATTACAAACAAGACATGTTTTGTTTACCTCAACCTCAGAACCTTGCTTCTTGTTTTGTAACACTTTACTAACGATATGATTTAAAAATCAAAAGTGACTCATAATATCACAAAATCGGTAAATGTTTCATCTCCACATTGTATATGAACAGATAATTCTCTTAATCTGCTTTATTAAATTAAACTTAATTATTTTGAAATATGAAAATTTATATGTTTTCATTGTCATGATAATGGACTCAATACATTACCAGTGGGAAAGGATTCTATTCTTTTGAGAATTGAAAAAATTCATCCATGCCAACTCTTTGGTGGAAATCGAATATAATGGGACAAATCAATCGCAGTAATGCAGAACCGGAAATTTCATCCTGCGGGAAATCTAAAGGTCGTCTTTCTGAGCTTGCTTCCGATATTTCTTTTTCTTATCTTTATATTTAAATGATTACATTAACCTAAAAAAGTCTTTGGACGATTTAAAATTAGATACACGAAAAATTGAATGATGGAAAATGTGCGAAAACTTGGTTTTTTAATTTTGTTATCAAGTTATAATTTTGTTCACCGAGCATGAAATTGAAAATCCCCGAAGGGATTATTTCGAATTTTCACATTTATATCACACAATGTTACCCATTAATCTTTTACCCATTTAAAATATTGGTTATTTATCACCGCGTATATTTTTGTGCGATATTGTATGAAACAATAACTATGTCGAATAAATGAATAAATAATTTACTTTAATTTATATTTTAAAATGACAATTTTGTTTGATTTAAGCTTTCAAAGTACCCCCGTAACTTATAAATAATTTACTATAAACTATAAAAAAAAACATATTTATGGTGATGTATTTATCGCTTTTTAATATCTATGCAAATGAGAAGTTGATTCGATTTCTCAGATGGTGGTATCTGACGTTTTGGGGTCGCTCAAGGACGGAATGTGATTTTGGGTTGATTAATTCCATGTCAATTCCGGAATGGTGTAGCTTTGCGTAATAAATTCGAAACTGTGCAGTCTGAATAGATAGCAAACCCGGTTTTGGCGCGGTACGACGGAAACGCTCCCCAAAATTTAATTTGCAACCTTGGTTACATGAAATAATATGAAATGTCACGGGAGAGACGTGATAAGCACAAACTTTATAATACAAAAGCGTACCTAAACTACTACTTTCGTTACTTTTCATTAGCTTCTATCTATGATATAAATTTAAATAGTACACCACCCAGTCCATATAAATACCTTCGTGTTTGAAATCACTTCGATTGTTCCGCTGTTCCACCAAATCATGCAACCACCATTAATGAGGAAGTTCTTGCCGAATTCGTGCAGAAAAGTGTCCACAGAAAAGGCTTATGGTCACGAAAATCAACAGGAAATTTCTAGATAATGACTGTTTCAGGGTTTGTTAACATTATTAACATTCATTTAACCAATGTGTACAGATTATCAATACAGATAATAACCGTTGCCTTTAGATATAATTACTTATCTTTATATTGACCTATTGTACACTAATATTCCACTTAGCATTGTGGTATGCACACAATTTATTTAAATTGTTTACAAAACGTGTGTTGTAAATGTCTTTTAATATAAGGGTGATAGTACACAAAATTTTTGCTTTTCAAACTTTGCCAAACTATCTTGGCCACGTGCGACAAATTATTTATAGATGATATAATGAACGTAATAATATAACACGAGAGCGATGAAATATTCTCGTGACTAAGTAGTGTAAAGCGAATTTCTGGTAACACGATTATTCGTATTTAACGTTTAATACAAAATTAATTCCTGTGGCGATGATTCGGTGCTACATTAAGATTCTGATCATAACTTGCTGCATCGCATATAGTACCAATATTGCAAATATGTAGTGCAGTCATGAAGATAAGTGAGGGATAATTTAACACGATCAATACGCGTTGGTATAGATTCACTCGTTTGTCAAATAATGTTGCAATTACTTCATTAAAACGATTGTTTACCCAAGTTATAATTGTATTATTTTACATGTTAGTTTTTAATTGCTATAACCTTGAAAACGCAATTACAATTATAAACACATAACTACAAAGATGTTTACATATGAAATCTGACCAAGTATTAAATAATACCATGACCTATCAACAATGACCGGGTTGTCCTTTACAAAATAGGTATTGATCATGCGAATATATCACGTAATACTAATGAACGTCATCGCAACGTGTTGCGGTATAAATTACATCACGATTTACACAAATCCTATAGCTACTAGGAGCTAAATGATATCGAGAATTCAACCCTTTATTTACACCATCAACATAATCCATTAATATTTATTGCAACTTTTTTTTTAAATAAGACAAATTTAAATATTTTATAGAAGAGGCTTACAGAGGGTGTCACCAAAACGACCTCTCAAATATCGAGGTTGTTTACATGGGTGAAATGACACTTGTGACATTAACCTTTAAGTACCAACGAGACAAATCCACCACCAATGATGGTGGAACGTCCACATCATGTGTAATAAGAATGGTGGTGACAGTAGACATTACGGCGTGATATTTCAGTTTCAAGGCAGTCTGGATTCTTCTTTTTATTGCGTTGTCTCCGACAAAATCCAATTGGCGATTATGACTTTTGGTTGCTGCTCGGAACAATTGTAGTCAGATGCCACCAAACCATCGGCGAAGATCTATTAGACATAAATTTTGACGTCCCTCTACAGATTTTTTCGCTTTTTGCTCATACTCTTAGCAAGCACTATCATGTCGTCTGCATAATGGAGAATTATTTACGTTGACACCGTTTATCCTAATTCAGCCTTGCCTAACTCCCTTTAGGATTGCTGTTTGTTCTGATGTCTCACCCTCCACTCGAACTTGTGCAGTTTGATATCTTTTGACCTTTTGGTGTTGTACGCAGACGATGGGCATCTACGTTCATGTCTTTACATTTCTGCGATAAGACATTAAGTCAAAATAGGGCTTCTAGTGTTCCCATGCCATTTCTAAACCAGAACTGAAGCTTTCAGGACGTGTGGCATGCGCTAAATATACGAGGGTGAAAGTTCATTTGACCCAATCATTTGAGATCCTTCCAGTTTCGTAGATAGAATTGAACAGGGATGTAAACGTGATCAGATCTTGATCTTCTGCATATGTTTGGTCTGAGCCTGTAGTTTTGCAAATTTTTTTGTAGGTCTTGTTTAACTTCATCTTTTGTAATTATAGGTTTAGGTGGTTTCTTTAGTCTGTTGTCATAAATAAGCTGCCATAAAAAAAAAGCAAGTCTTCCTGCTTAGCCTAAATATTATTTACGACATTCACAAGTTTTATGTCTCTTAAAAAAATTAAACATCTCACAAGAAAAAGGTTATTTAGTAGATTACACCTTTAGATCGCACTAAAATATATAATATTTGTAATAAGTTTAATATTAAGGTTTCTCTTGATCGTGTATACACAACCATAACCAATACATGAACAATACGTTGCGGTTAACATGGTTTAATAAAGTTTTGTTTGTCTATTGCAGTTGGATATGCTCGACGGAAATGGGGTTCCGATAATGAACGCGGTTACAAATCCAGCAAGACTAAATTAAATTCATCGGGAGGTATGTTGTAATTCCCTTTATATTTTTTATAATTCGGTTGAAATTAATTAAAAATAAACAAGCAAAAAATTTTAAAAACGTATTATAAGCTCTTATTTTAATTAAACACACTATATATAACCATCTGACGCTATATTGGTCGTATTGAACGTGTTTGTTGTTTGTCGACAAACAGACCCCATTGACTTATATACAAAGTGATCGAAATAGTAATCAAACTAGTCTACATTTCGAGTACCTAATATTGACAGAATATCCCTCTTTCGCTACGATGCAGCTACTAGAGGAGATAACCAAGAGTTAATTATCCAAGTTAGTTCTGACAAAATTGTTATTTCAGGTGTAATTGAATCTTCTCTTCTCAGCTTCGGGTTTCCCGAGAATTTCTTAATTTATACTTAACAACGTGACGACTTGTTAACTGACGACTTCGACCCTTCAATTTGTAGCCGGTGTAAACTGAGATCGTTTTGGTAAATTCCAGTGTTAATTGGCGGAGTAATAACGAGACTTGCTAATTGAGTAAACTGGAGGAGAAAATGAAGCGACTAAGCATTATATAAAAGCGGTTTGAACATCATCAACGCCATTCAGAGTTTAATTTTGTGTGTGTAAATGTTGATAAATATTGTGGAGTAATGTTTTACGCGGATAGAATTTCAGATTAATGTTGCGAAAAACTTGCGGTTTAAAAAATTAAACATTTTTTTTAGTTGGTTTATCTACTCGTTGCCTTTATAAGGGTACATGAGACCCTTATATTTCTTATTTCATACTCGTTGGTGTGTAGTACTTTGTATGCGACCACTTTTATGCAGCTTGGGATTGCCTATGTTTTCATGAAAAGATGGAAAGGATTTCTCAATACGATTTTTCAAGGGGGAATTTCTAAACCGTGACGGAGAGATTTTTCGATAAACGTTCCTTGAGGTCCATTTCACGCCCTCTTAATTTCAGATTAAAATAGTAAGCAAAGAGGCGAAGAGTTGGGTTAGCTCCTTTACTACCCAAAAGTAATTGCGTGTCACGTTGATTAATGAGTTTCCGATTTTGGCAGTTTAACAAGATGTTATTTCACGGGTGCTACGCTAAAATGCTGATATCGACAGCTGTTTGTAATTAAAAAGTACATAGAAAGTTTATCCTGTCCAACTTTGATGATCGACAGCGATAGAAATATAAAGTGAACTCTAACTTAGTGGATATATATATATTAAATTGTAACGTAATAGTTATGAACAAAATATATTAATCACGTAAATTATTGTGTGTCATAAATTCATATTCCAAAATTGAATGTCCAATATATTAATTAATAGTATTTATTGTTTAATTTGTTTAATAAGAGAGTATATTCGTCATTTATTAAAAGTTAAAATTATAAAAATTTAATGCTTGATGCAATTATATAAATCGACTACTTGTAACGCTTTTAAAACCATCCCCTTACTTTTTATGATACCTCGATTGTTGGTTGAACTTTTACGAAACCCATTACAACGTGTTTCACTACACAGCATTACTTTGGTAGTTAGAGTGAACTTTTCTTATTCCAGTATAAACGAACTTTCAAACACAAAAACTTTCCTCCTCTATTAATTAAAATTTCCATTTCATTCAATACCTTCGCACCATAATTACTTGTAAGATAACGAAGTAGACTGTGTTATATATTGCCAATTTTCTCTTGCACGTTTTTATCTAAAATGTTCCTTTCTTTGTTAGGAAAGGCTCTGGTTTTTCGAATCCTTGATAGCTTTGTTCGTGTTATAAATGTGTAGGGGCTCAAGAGATTGTTTTGCGATCGGGTTGTTTTTGCTCGTGGGAAAATAAAGGATTTATGGGTGAATTTATGTGACGGGAAAAAAATTTTGTATCTTGCGCCTAAAAAAAAACTTATTATATTTTATTGTATGTGTCGGAGATAAAAAGAGGCAAATAACCTACACATATATTTTTAAGTATACCTACAATCTTAGTATTTTCAAATTGTAAGAAGTGCTTTAAAAGTGTCCTGAAAAATCGTTGAATTTAGTAATCACAACCTCGATTAGTATCATATCAAATCGAACAATGAATGTAAGGATTCAAGCTGCGGTCATTAGGGGCCGAAACGCTACGATGTCTTGACCACCTTTGAAATAACATAGGTGACCTCGACTGAAGCCGGAGAAATCAAATATGATTATTATTGAGAGGTGCCCTGAACCGAGCAAGAACGTAATTATGTTAAAGCTTATTCGAATTATTCTTTGGCATGAAAATACTATCTGAGAATTCCTAAGGAGATGCGCCTAAGAATTATGGATATCTTTAGGAGAGTAGAAGCCTCAGCAACGAGAGTTGTGGTGACGATGGCGGAAGATAATGGGAAAGAAATGGAAAGAAAGAATTTCGATGAGAAGATGAAAGAAATGGAGAAGAGGATCGAGAAAAAGATAGCAGGAGAGTTGGCGACCTGGAAAGAAGCAGGGGATAGAGAGTACGAGGGATACGCTAGAGCTGTTAAGAGGGGTGCGGGAAACGAAGTGGACCCGGTCGGTACTGGAGGAAGGCTGGGGGAGAGAAAGGGCGCGAGCAAGAACATCATCATAGTGGTCGGAAGAAGGGGTAGCATTCTACAGGGGAAAAATAGACACTTGGCAACAGAGGATACAAGAGATCAACGGGTTGGAAAAGCTTACCCAGGTAGTGCGGGAGGCAATACTGAAAAGGGAGTGTGTACGTAGGGGGGACAAAGTGGGGAGGAACGACTGGTATGATGACGAGTGCAAGAAGGCGAAGAGGGAGACGAGAAGGAGGTTGAGGCTGTGGAGACGGGGGAAGATAGGGGTGGATAGATATAGGGAAGCCAGGAGAGAATACAGAGAGTTATGCAGTAGAAAGAAAACAGAATTGAGGGAGAAGGAGGCGGCAGAGATTAGGGGGATAACAAGGGAAGGGGAGGTCTGGAGGTATCTGAAAAAAGGAAAGAAGGGTAGGGAGACGATAACCAGCGAAATACACATGACAGAATGGAAGAGTTACTTTATGGGATTATTGGGAGGGGTTGAAACGAGGCTAACGGGGTTGGGAGGATATGAGGGAGATGGGGGAGAGGAGATAGCAGAAGAGGAGATGGAGGCGGTGCTTAGGAGATTGAAGAAGGGAAAGGCGCCAGGTGAAGATGGGATACATAACGAAGCATGGTTGGAAGCATCAAGGGTGGTGCGAGTGAAGTTGTTGGAGGGGATGAATATCGTATGGAGAGGGGGTGGGATTCCGGAGGGATGGAAAGTGGGGGTAATTTGCCCAGTATATAAAAAGGGTAATAAGGGAAGTGTAGAGAGCTACAGGGGAATTAACCTACTAGACTCGGCATACAAGGTATACACGAAGATACTGCTGGGAAGATTGGAGGAGGAGATGGAGTTGGGGGGAATTTTGCCGGATGGGCAGGCAGGCTTTCGGAAGGGAAGGGGAGCAATCGACAACGTGTATGTGTTGAAGCATTTGGCAGATAGAGAGCTGGATAAGAAGGGAGGGAAATTGTACGCCCTGTTTATAGATTTGAAGGCGGCTTTTGATAAGGTGGATAGGGGGAAGTTGTGGGAGGAGATGGGGAGGAGGGGGATAACGGAACACCTAATTGCGAGAGTGAAGGAAATATACATGGAGACGATGGCTAGGATAAAAGTGGGAGATAAGCTGAGCGACGTGTTCTGGACGACGAAGGGACTGAGGCAGGGATGTCCGCTGAGCCCAAGTCTGTTTGCACTGTATACGGCGGACCTGGAGGAAAGATTGGGGAAGGGGCAGATGGGAGGATTGGTGGTGGGAGGTAGAAAGGTGCATATGTTAGCATACGCGGATGACATCGTGGTCATGGCGAGAGAAGCGGTGGAGATGAAGGAGATGATAAAGACATTGGAAAGATATTTTAGGGGGAAGGGGCTGGAAGTAAATGTGGGGAAGACAAGGATGATGAAGTTTTGTAAGGGTGGGAGAAAAAGAACAGAAAACTGGAGATGGGAGGGAAAGGAGATCGAGGAGGTTAGGGAGTATACTTACTTGGGGTATGTGTTTAGGGAGGATAACAGGGAGGGGTCGCATGTGATAGCTATGGCAAAAAAGGCGAATAAGGTGATGGGACAAGTATGGGGTTGGGGGAAGAGAGTCTTTGGAAGGAATGTGGCAGCGAGGAAGATTATGTTTGAAGGTCTGGTTAGCAGTGTGATGATGTATGGGGCAGAGGTATGGGGATGGAGGGAGCAGGGACCGCTGGAGGACGTGCAGGCTAGATATTGGAGATGGGTGCTTGGGGTGGCGAGAGAAACACCGGGGTATATAGTGAGGGAAGAGGTAAAGGTGGATAAGGTCAGGGTGGAGGCGGGCAGGAGGGCAGTGAAATATGAAGAAAGAATAGAAGGGAGGCCAAGCTGCGGGATCCTGGGGGAGTGTTGGAGGGAAATTAGAGAGGGAAAGGTCAGATATGGGAAAGGACACAGAGACAACTATTATAGACGAGCGGGCTACTCGGTAACGGAGATAAATAGTAGACGAAGGGTGGGTAGGGAGATGTGGAGGGAGTTGAGAGACAGGGACCGAGATGTGCAGAGACAGGAAAGAAGGACACAAATAAAAGAGGGAAGGTATAACGAAAGATACAGGGACATAATTACGGAGGGGCTGCCTAGATACTTGTTATTGGAAAGAGATGAGGAAGGGAAAAAGTTGGTGGCTAGGTTCCGTTGTGGAAACGAGGAGAGAGCCAACAAATACTGGATGGCCGATGAGGAGAGGTGGTGTAGGCTGTGCAGGGAGGAATGGGAAACGTTAGAACACATGCTGAATGGGTGCAGTGAGTTGAGGGAGGAGGAGATGGACCGAAGGCAGATCTTAGGAGAGGGGGGAGAGGGGAAACGATGGATGAGAATGGTGATGGGGGTGAGGAGACAAAGGGATGGGTGAGGGGATGATTGGGCCGAGGAGCCGAGGGCGTGGAAATGGAGGAAGAGGGT